CAGATAGATACTTAAAAAAACAATTTCATATTGTTTATGAAAAGTAAGAAGCATTTTTTGGCTAAATTTTCATGCATAATTAAAGCAGGTATTTTTACTATCAAGTCTGCCTAAAAAACATTGGTACAATCTGCATATGCAATGTACTATATGTAAATAAAATTTCATGTGCCTACATGTGATCTAACAAAAGCTAGAGGTGTGGGAAAACTTTTGTCGGGCACTGTAGTTTAACAAACATATGTAAATATTTAACGGAGCAGAATTATGAATAATAATAAAGCTTTTTTTTAATTAGATATAGCAGGCATAGTAATAATTTGCTGTTACCAATTATTTTATAATTTATGTTTTTAATTAAATTAAATTTAAATTATAAAACTCTAAATATTGTACTGAATTATAATCCAAATTCTTTACTTTTGTTTAAAAATATTTTAATAATTTCTCCAATATATAATAAGCTTCTAATAGTATTAATAATTTCTCTATAAACGCGAACTTATATTTTGTTCTAAAATGTATATGATGATTCACTGTATTCATGACTACACGTTTAAATTTTAAAATCATTTTATAACTTGAAATACTTCAAATTCATTAATCAAAGATCTATAATATCTTCTCTATACTGTTTTTCATAATATTCTGAATCATATCCATAACCACATATCTTATTATCATCATTTTTCATAAAGAAATAATCACTGAAAACTGGAAAATAACTCTCTTACTAATAATAGAATTATGTAACTTGAAGTTTTTAATAAAAAATAAACATATTAGAAGTTGTTAGCCAATTATTTTTATCATTATATAACCAGATTAGTGATTTTATCCACCAAGTATTTCATTCGTACCATTAACTTTTATAAAAACCACAGTGATTATTTTTTTATAAATTTTAATTTTGCTTGGCGGCCAATTCTGATTGGTTAAAAGATATTAAAATATTAACTAACATATATTAAATGACCTAAGGTCATTTGGGTCTTGAAATGACAAATGACTAGTCATTTATCATTTGGGTCATTTGAGTTTTCAGGTCATTAACCATTTCTGCACTTGGGTGCATTTTTCAAAAAATAGCCCAAATTATTGAATCATAATTCTAATTTTAAACTTTTGAGATGGCATCTTGCGATAATAAAATATACCTATGTATATGTGCCAGTGAACTTCCAATTTTATTATTAACAAATTACTTAATTGATTAAAATTTTAAAAGAAATGTGAGTTAGAGTGATTTCAATAATGGTATTTTTTTTAGTTGCGGTTACAATTCTAAAGAGTGTAATTTGAAATTTTGGTCTTAAATTATGACAATCGTTAGTGGAAAGCTCGAGTAGCAATATTTGAAAAAGTTTTAAATTGTATTGTGTATTAGTATTTGAATTCATATTTTTGAAGGTGTTAATCTACTGACCCATTGTATTGACAATAGTCATGCAAGGGGTATTATCGTGAGGATGATCTTCAATCTGTGAATTATCCTTGCGTAACCTGAGTTAGGTATTTTATGGAAAATTGGCAGAAGATAATCTTTAGTACTTCATTCTTTCACTGCCCAATTGATATCTGGCTCTTAGTGTTTAGCGCTTGTCATGGAAAAGAAATGTCAGACTCGAATATATCAAAAAATGACTTATTAGATATTTGCTGTAGTTTAGGCATATCCACCAAAGGGAATAAAGCAGATCTTGTACAAAGGTTAAAAGAATACCAGACAAATAGATCCCATGAGAATAATGTGGACGGAATGAAGTTCACAAATGATAAGGCCGATGATGAATCGGTAATATCCAACTATCATACTGAAACCACTGAAATATTAAGCCCTGAAATACAAATGTTAAGAGAATTACTTCAGAAGAACAAGCGCCCATTACATGCTGTACTATTATCGCTTTCTCCCCAAGATGCAGAAGAAACAACTGACCACCCACAGCAGACAAAAAGATGGTTAAAAAACAGAAATTACAAGCTGGAGAGGAAAATAATTTTAACTCATTAATTAAGAAAGTATTATCAGGGTTCCAAAAATTAGAGAATGCCATGCTGAGCTTTGACGACAAATTGAATACAATGTCACACCAAGTCCAGGAGACATGTAATAAAGCAGAGGTTAAGGAAGCTTGGCCTAAACATAAGTTTGAGAAGTATCGTGATCAATATGAGTACAATACACTACGCCAAATTGGAAGGGAACTTGACTTAACTATGGACTCCAGAACTATGACTGACGTAGCAAGTCATATTGAGGCTGCAAAGGAGTTAGTAGAAAATAGAATATTTATCTTGAGGGTAGTTGACAGTTTTGGTTGGGACATTGCCTCGGCCTTACCTGATACTCAGGATGATTGGTTGAAGGGTAAAGACAATCTAATTGAGAAGGCAAAAGCATTAGTTGAAGTGAAAAAGCACAAAAAACAAAGTCCTATGGCTCAGTTAAACCGTAGAGTATCAGCATTGGGGGTATAACTACCAAGGTGGAAATCTGAATGGTCACAAGGATAGCTATTCAGATGGCTCTCAGAAGTTTTTTCATCAAAACTTCCAATCCAATAACTACACGTTATCATTCTCAAAAAAGTGCTTTATTTGCGGAGGTTATGGTCACTTTGCGAACACCTGCCCCTCAGATTCAAATAAAACATCAGCTTAGCAAGAATATCGAACTGGATATAAATCAAAAAGATACTCAGCTTACAGAAATCAATACAACAAACTACAAAACCACACTAGATATGAGTGACTACACTCGGACCCAGCAGAAACTACAAGTAATGGGACGCATTCACCTAGAAATTCATGTACAGTATTGGATAAAAAAGATACAAGCTTCAAAGCTAGTAATCAAATGGTTAAAGAAAAAAGTTTCTTTATTTTCAAAAAGCCTATTAGAGTTGACAATGCAACCAGACCCACCACGATACCCTTTAACAGAAGACTAGCTCATCTGGTTAAATTCAGAGATAGAAAGGTTAATAAAAGAAGAGGCGATATCTTTAGTAGCAGTATCAGAAAACAGACCAGCATACTTACTAGAAGTAAGTCCAATTTTCTTAGTCACAAAAGTGGGCTCAAAGAAATGGCGATTGATTATAGATCTTAGACGTTTAAACAAAACGTTAGCCATAAAACTGTTCAAGTTCGAAGGATTTGGAACGTTTTTACATATGATAGAGAAAAATTGGTGGATGATCGTGTTAGACTTAAAAGACAGGTATTACCATATACTAATGGAAGAGGGAGCTCAAAGACTACAAAGATTTAGGATACAATCAAACTGGTACCAATACAGAGTGTTACCTTTTGAACTAAGCCAAGCAGTATAGATATTTTCCAAAGTAATGAGAGTGTTAATAGGATATTGGAGATCAAAAAGGATAATTTGTGGAAATCATGTAGACGATATCTGGGTTGCGCACCCATGCCAGAAAGTTTTGTTACATATAAGAGACTCGGTTATATTGGAAGATCTAAGAAACTGTGGGTTTGTTGTAGCAGAAAAAGGTCATTTAGATCCTGCACAAAACGTGAAGTACTATGGAATGGTATTAGACACAGTAACAGGAATGGTTACAGGCCAAATACCAAGATCAATGATATAATACTTTGTCTACAAAATGTTCTAGTCAAAAAGCATCTCACTGCCCGGTATCTCTCTTCTGCTACAGGAAAGCTAATAAGCTTAAGCCGTGCTTTCAAATATGCGAAAGTTCGTTCCCTAGAACTATATTCAATTATAGATGCAGAATGCAAAAAGCCCTGGGAATGGGACAGTACAGTTCAACTATCATATCAGGCAAGAATAGATATCAAATAAGTAATAGAAAATTTAAAAATAAAAAATGGAAGTCCGGTATGGAGACCATCACAAATAATTCCGGTATTTGTAGACGCATCTACAACAGGGTGGTCAGCAACCTTGAGAGCACGAAAAGCTTTTGGAAACTGGGAACATTGTCACAAGCATACAGATATCGCAGTTCTCAAGTTACTTGCAACTTTATTAAGCTTAGAATCCTTCACCTCAATCATTGCACATCGCTAAGTAACAGTCTTTATAGACAACCAAGTAGCCAGAAAAACAGTAGAGTCAGGTGGGAAAAGGCTGTGGCAAAAAGAAATAATGCACGAAATATGGGACTTTTGCAACTTGTACGATATCAGAATTCACAAATTTCAATGGGTTCATCAATCCTAAACCCAGCAGATGAACTAATGAGAATGTTCAACGAATCAAACTGGTTACTGAACCAAGTATTATTCAATTTACTAAATGAGAGATGGGGACCATTTACCATAGACCGTATGGTGAGTATTCAAACAAGAAAAGTAAAATGCTTCAACAGCAGTTTTTATGGCCCAGAATCAGAAGCAGTAGACTGCTTCACACAAGACTGAAGCAACGAAATCAATTACGTTTGCCCTCCTTTAAGTTTAATTCAAAGAGTTCTAGAACATGGGTCACAGACACAAACTACAATAATATTAATTACTCCAATTTGGGTCTCAGCCCCCTGGTGGCCCCTACTGCTTTAACAGCAAATCGATTTAATAAACCTACCTCCAGCAACCCAGAGTTTTATACTATGCCAAGGAGAAAACTTACTACCAGAACCATGGAAAAATCTACTATGGCAGTTTCAGGCTGTAAAGATATCTTTTTAGACTCTTTATTTTCAAGAGTACAGCAGCTTTTACTGCCAAAATCCGAATTTGAAAAACATTTGCACAATTTATGGAGTGAATTTGAAGACTTTTGTGTAGTTCATAGTTTGGTCTCTTGCCAGCAGAACCAAATACAATTATAATCTTTTTAACATGGACAGATTTATTGTTGAGATCTATAAAACCTCGGTTTTACTTAATAGCTATTAGCCATTATCATCAGAGGCTAGGATTGGACGATCCAATGCAGGATTTTAATGTAAAAAGCTTAGTTCAGACCCTAACAAAACTTGCAACAAATGAAAAAGAGGCCACATGGCCACGTGATCCCCTACTAATAGATGCTTTGAAATACTATGTTGACCACCCACCTTCAAATACCTCACACACAATTTGGAAAAGGAACTGTGCTATGATAGCACTTGGCTTACGCACTATGAGACAACCAGCTGAGTTATGTAATCTGAAAGTAGATGATTTAAAAATGCTTGATGGGACATGCTGGGTTAGAATAAACAAGTCAAAGACAGATCAGTTCGCAAAAGGAAAATTCATACCAGTAGATCCTACGAATTCGCCATATTGTCCAGTCAGATTAACCTATGAGTATTTGAGAATGAAAGATAATAAGAAAGATAGTGATTGGTTATTTGTCAACGTATTGGGTAAACACATGACAACGGGAACAGTAAGCACAGTAGTTAAGAAAATAGCCCACAATGCAAACTTAAATGGTAAGTATTCAGGTCACAGTGTTCGTATTGGTGGAGCTACAGAAGCAATGAAGGCAGGGCTGACGTTGTCTCAGATTATGAGCATTGGGGGTGGCTATCTCAATCGGTGGCACTCTATCTCAGGTCCTTTTCGACCATATTACAAAGTACCTCAGTGAGAATGGGGGTTTAAAAAAAAAAAAAAAATATATATATATATATATAAAATATATATATATATATATATAATAATAATAATAATAATAATATATACATATATATTATATACATTTATTATTATCATTGTGCATAGACAACCTAACCTACCTTCGATCCTCTTTTCTCTCCCATATTGTTTTTTCATAATAAAAGCTATCCGAGCGAGAATAATGACCCATTGCATTGACGATAGTCATGCAAGGGGTATTATCGCGAGGATGATCCCAATCTGTGAATTAGCCTTGCGTAACCTGAGTTAGGTATTTTATGGAAAATTGGCAGAAGATAATCTTTAGTGCTTCATTCTTTCGCTGCCCGATTGATATCTGGCTCTTAGTGTTTAGCCCACCCCCCTCTCCCAAAAAAAAAAAAAAAAAAAAAAAAAGTAAAAGGATAAAAAGATGTACTAAGGATCGCTACACCTGCGCATGAGCATCCTTAAGAGTCGCTACACCTTTGCGTGGGCAT